GATGTCGGAGATCGAGACCATTCCTGGCTAACACAGTGAAACCCCGACTCTACTAAACATATAAAAAATTGCCAGGCGAGGTGGTGGGCGCTGTAGTCCAGCTACTTTGGGGAGGCTGAGGCAGGAGAATGGTGAACCGGAGGGTGGAGCTCTGCAGAGCGCGGAGATGGCGCCCACTGCACTCCAGCGTGGGCGATAGAGTGAGGACTGTCTCAAAAAAAAAAAAAAAATAAAAAAGATGAAAGACTAGGCATGATGGCACTTGCCTATAGTCCCAGCACTTGGGAGGCTGAGGTGGACGATTCTTGAGCCCAGGAGTTCAAGGCTTCAGTAAGCTAGCAATCACATCACTTGCACTATAGCCTGGGCAAGCAAGACTCTTTTTTTAAAAAAAAAAAAAAAAAAAAAAAGCTGGGCGTGGTGGCTCACATTTGTAATCCCAGCACTTTGGAAGGCCGAGGTGGGCGGATCACAAGGTCAGGAAATCAAGACCAGCCTGGCCAACATGGTGAACCCTGGCTCTATTAAAAATACAAAATTAGCTGGGGTGGGTGGCACATGCTGTAATGCCAAGCTACTCGGGAGGCTGACGGCATGTGAAAAGAATGCACTTGAACCAGGGGGTTCAGAGGTTGCGAGTGAGCTGGAGATCCAACGGCGATCCACTAAGTCTAGCCTGGTGACAGAGCAAAAGACTCCGTCTCAAAAAAAAAAAAAAAAAAAAAAAAAAGACCGAAAGCAAAGCTTCCTTGTAAAAACACTTTAAAATCTGGAAGCGCCTTTTCTTCCCTGTACAGAGAAAGCCCAGGTGTCTGAGACAGAAAGGTGGCCAGGCCCAAGAGCCCCACTGTCACCTTTGCCCTATGACCCATGGAGACACAGAAGCCTCCAACACAAATCACATAATCCATGCTAAATGCTTCAGAGGAAGGTAAAATCCCATGAGGATGCTTTTAATCCTTGGAGGAAAAATGATTCATTCCAACTTGTAACATGATGACAGCATCCTGGATGGCAGCAAAGACACATCTGCCTCCAGGTGAGTTGAGCTCTCGCACAAGGGTAGTGCAAGGAAATCTAATTAATGAGTTCACTCTGCACACCACAGCTCCTGGAGAACGACAGCCAGGTCACTGGTGCAAAACGCGGTGGCAGAATGTTAATAAATATTGATAACACATTCTCAGAGAGCTCCCAGGCACCATTGCAGGAGAGAGCCATGGTACTTAACCTTGTTAAATTTAAACTGAGATCCAGACTAGCAGTCTGTGTGCCTGCAGATTAAGTGCAATAGTAATAAGCAATGAACATACACATGAAAACTTTTCAGTTCCCAGTATCCTAAAACAAATCAAAAGACCCTTTTATATTTGGCCAGACCTGGAACATCATAGCCTGTCTTTCGTTGGAGCCCGTGAATATCTAAGAGAGTGGCGGCAGCCTTCTTGGCTCTGTGGGCCCAAGAGCTCAGCAACTTACCACTAACCTCCAAGCCCCTCCCGCAGCAAGCAACTAGCAAGGCAATAAATGAAATGTGTTAATTTAAAACCCACAAGTACATAGTGTGACCAAGACTCCTGCTGCTCCAATCTGCCAGAGAGTTTATAAACAGCAGGAGCCAGACAACTGGAGCTCAGGGGACATGCTCTCTTCTTACCTGGGCTCTGGCAGCAAGCACTATGCTGGCTCAGTTTCTAGTTTGGGCCAAACAGAAACAGTACAGCACACGTGGGGCTTGGCCATGCTTATGCCACAGGGGTTTATACAAATGAGGATGGGGACCACACAAGCAGCAAAGGGTGCCATCAGAAAGGCACAGGTGGCTCAGTTCCCTCATGGCCACGGAACAGTGACCAGCTGTGATGGACCGTTAATAAAGCACGCCTCATGTTAGGAACTGTGTTAGAAGCAGAAAAGAGTAAAACACTATGAGTGCACACTAAAGACAACTTGAGACTAATGCCAGATACATCTGGAAACGAAGTCTCCTATAGCAATCTGCCTAAGGCAGTGTCCATCTCTGACAAGGCCTCCCATGCAGGAACACTGTGCAGACAATGCCCTACTCTATTCTCATACATGTCCACAAGCCGTCAGGAAGAGCAAAATTCCTGTTCCTGGCAGGGGCCAGAACCACAGCTAGAGAGCTCAGAAACCTGGAGGGCACAGGGGAGCTTCTCCTCTGACCAGTCCCTGCTGGGAGGGACAAGTGAAGAGCAGTAGTGTAGTAAAACCTCTTCTGAGGATTCTGAACAGGCAACTGCACCTAGATGGCCAGCCAGTCAAGGTCTCTCAATCTGTGTTCTTCAAGGCCCAGGCACCATCCTACACTGTCCAGAGGGCCCAGGCAGCACTTCTGCATAGTGAAGTCAAAGTAACAGCTTGTGAGATCAACATCCATGCTCAAAAAGACCCACAAGGTGGCCTAGTCAACAAGATGGCTTGCAGACACAAACATCAATCCCCTAGAAGAGAAGACCACTTTCATTTCTCTCTTTAAGCTCAAAGGCAGGGTGGATTTACTGATCTCCTCATTATAAGCTCTGTGAAGCTTCAGATACCCACATGCATCCACATGCTTCCAGGCTGAGGATGGTGGGCTCAAGGAGGGAGGTGGGAAAAACAAGAAGGGTCTAATGTCCTTTGGATCTGCTGGGTACCAGACACAGGCTCCAATTCACCTACACTCTAACCCCAGTGTTACTGTTATTCCTTATGTTGGCACATTGCAGGGCTTGGGACACAGGGGCCTGCCAGCTCTATCGTGCCTTGCTGAAGGGTAGGCTCAGGCTCCTGCGCCATAAGGAGGGAAATATGGGGCTTTTGGCACTGGGACTGGCTTCTGTGATGCAGACAGCTATCCCTTGGGGAGGAGTCAGACTACCAGCATTTTCTAACGACCCATCCAGGGCTCTGACCACACGAGCAAGATCAAAGCCTGCAGTAGAGATAGCAGCTTTAGAATGCTACTGCAAGGAGAGGTACAGAAAGTAGAATTCCCAGCTGTGTTTTTTCATGAGAGTAGAAGAAAAAAACCCTCTACACAAGGTTCTTTACGCACAGTGGAATTATTAATGAGCTACCACAGCCTTTTTTTCTCTTCTAATTGTTGTGGCTCATTGCATTAAATACATTAATTAAAAAAGAAAACAACAAAAAACAGAGCTCATGCTCTTATTACTGTAACCCCCACCTGGAGCCAAATCCTGTGCCTATGACATAACAAGCAACACAAAACAGCTGACCATGATGTCAGGAATGCAGGGTCAACATCAGGTTGGGGGGAAGGTGGCAGGAGTCACAGATCACGAAACAGAGATTCTCTTTCTATGGAGACATCCCAGTAATAAAAGTTTTCCCTGAGACATCAACAGCTCTTTAAAGATCTGGGTGGTTGACAGCAAGGCAGAGATGAAAATGTTAAACTGTTTCTTACTCCATAGGGAGGTTAGGGATTCTCAAACCAAGGACTTATTTTTGTTATGATTAGAAAGAAAAGTCAATCAATAAACTTGTTTCCTGGATACAAGGTTACATCATATACAGAGAGCCAATTTCTAAGAATACTATGTGGAATAATACAAGCATCCATCCCCACAGAGCAGTGCATAACTCTGGGTCACTGTGACTTGGGTCATCAAAAAGACCACAATGACCAAGACATGGTCATCTCGTGAAACCTCTGGTCCCAGCTCTCCACATGAAGGAGCAAAGTGCACAGCAGCAGAGGCGGCAAAGCCAGAGGCTGACAACTTTAGCCTCACTCCTCCCAACCCAGAACCCTGTCTCGCTGGACACTTGGCCACCAACTTCTGTTAAATAGAGATGCTACCAGCTTAACTAGGCAGGCTACCAAGATGGGCCCCAAAACAGAAAATGACAGATACCATTTACTCACAAGCCCTCAGCTAATAAAGAAAAAAAAAAAAAAGCCATTTTCTTCAACTAGAAACAGAAAACTTTGTATTACTGGTCTCCCTTTCCTAGCCACTAGTCAACAGGGAATAAAACACAATATTCTGATGTAACTAGGGGTCATGAAAATGAGAAAAGGCAACTGGTTGGCTCTTTTAAAAACTTTTTTTATTTGAACAGACCTGTTCTTGCTATGTTACCCAGGCTGAACTTGAACTCCTGGCCTTAAGCGATTCTCTAGCCTTGGCCTCCCGAGTAGCTGAGATTACAGGTGTGAACAACCATAACTAGTTAACTGGTTAGCTCTTTGTTTTTGGAGATGGAGTCTCACTCTGTTGCCAGGCTGGAGTGCAGTGGCGCGATCTCAGCTCACTGCACCTCTCCGCCTCCCGGGTTCAAGCAATTTCCCTGCCTCAGCCTCCCAAGTAGCTGGGACTACAGGCATGCGCCACCACACCCGGCTAATTTTTCATATTTTAGTAGTGACAGGGTTTCACCATGTTGGCCAGGCTGGTCTCGATCTCCTGACCTCGTGATCCGCCCACCTCGGCCTCCCAAAGTGTTGGCATTACAGGCGTGAGCCACTGTCCACATGTATGTGTGAATACACACTTTTATAAGAATCTAACTGGCATCAGTGTTATCTTCTCTACCTCTCTTGTTCTTTTTAACTGTTTCTCCTACAGAAGCTTGGAGAGAAAAGAGGGAAGGAAAAGGTAAGGGCAAGGAGATGGATGTGAAAGGAAGGGAGACATGCTTAAACAAAAGTCAGGAGCTGCAAGTAATTGCTGCGCTGGAAGGAAGGGTGGGCAGGATGAATTCTGAGACCTGATCCAAGTCTGTTGGCCCTGCTCTATGTGTGTTATGCCTCATGCCTGTTTCCATTATGCAGTCAGCCATGCCCTCCTTCCCCTTCCATCAAATTCAAATCAAACCCCACCTCCTATGGACAGCGTGGCTGCCTCCGTGGAGAGCCCTGCTTCTCTCCTGGGGAAGCACAGAGAAGGGGTATGCAGATGACAAGCACCGTGCTACTTGCAGCCTTCTCTCGTCACTTTTCCTCAAACGCGACCATAGGCATTATGGGGGCTGCCTGGGTGATGGTCTTAGACACATCTAATGCTCAAGAAGTAACTAGAGGACATTATGTCAACTGAAATAAGCCAGGCACAGAAAGTTAAAAGCTGCATGTTCTTGCTCACGTGGAAATTTAAAAAGCTGACCTTATGGAAGTATTAAAAAGTAGAACAGAGGATACTAGAGGCTAGGAAAGGGAAAGGAAGGGATAAGTAGAGATTTGTTAAAGAATACAAAATTACATCTAGATGAGAGAAATAAGTTCTAGTATTCTGTATCACTGTAGGATGACCACAGTTAACAACAATATATTGTATAGTTCCAAATGACCAGAAGATACCACATGTTCCCAACACAGACATGACATTTGAGATGATGGATATGCTAATTACCTAGGTCTGATCATTATATATATATTGAAACATTACTGAGCACCCCATATCTACAATTAATGTCCATTAAAAAAGTAAAAAAGGCTGGGCGCGGTGGCTCACGTCTGTAATCCCAGCACTTTGGGAGGCTGAGGCAGGTGGATCACCTGAGGTCAGGAGTTTGAAACCAGCCTGGCCAACATGGCAAAACCCTGTCTCTACTAAAAATACAAAAATTAGCCAGGCATGGTGACACACGCCTGTAGTCCCAGCTACTCAGGAGGCTGAGGCAGGAGAATCACTTGAATCTGGGAGGCAGAGGTTGCAGTGGGCTGAGATCATGCCACTGCACTCTAGCCTGGGCAACAAGAGCGAAACTTCATCTCAAAAAAAAAGCAAAAAACTTAATAAACTTGAAATTAACACTCACCCTGCCACCAAAAAAGTAACTGGGGAAAACACCCACTAAAGGGACTGAAAGTCTAGAGTAAGAAAGGTGATTTTCCCAGGTTATTGAAGCTCTAAGTCAAAACTCAAGTCTTCTGCATCACTCACTGGATGGCACTTCTTTAACAAAATGTTTCCCTTCTTTCAACAGTTAACACATTGCAAAACATCCCCCTATCATTTCAACAAACAAAATACAACACTCTTTGTAATACTGTGATTTAGAGTAAGAAATACATATTTTAGCCTTCATCCCTGATTCCTGGCACAGACCTCCTAAAACCCATGTAAATTCCTGAGCAATTAGGGGTGCTAGGAGCATCTTTTCTTCTAATATTTGGTTTTTGATCCTGGTTCCTGACATGGAGCTCCTAACCCCTTGGAATTTCCTGGATAGGAGCACCTTTTGTTCTAATGAGGCAACTCTTGGTGGCTCCTGGATGGGGGCTGGGCACCAGAGAGACTAAGCTGTGATTAGCAGCTTGGAACTTTCAGCTCTACCCACCCCACTGCAGGAAGCAGAGAGGGGGTGAAGACTGAGTTAATAATTGATTATGCCTACATGATGAAGCCTCCAAAAAATCCATGAACTACTGGATTCAGAGAGCTTCTGGACTGCTGAGTATATGAAGGTGCCTCGGGGGTGGTGCCCCTGGAGAGAGCATGGACACTCCATGCCCCTTCCCACGTATTTGGCCCTATGTTTCTTTCATCTGACTGTTCATCTGCATCCTTTATAATGAGTAAACACAAGTGAAGTGTTTCTGTTAATTCTGTAAGCCATGTTAAACATTAATCAAACCCAATGGAGGGGTCTTGGAAAACCTAGTTTAAAGCTGATCATTCAGAAACACAGGTCAGGTCATAACATAGGCCTTGAGGTCGGCATTTGAAGTGGGGAGCAGTCTTGTGGGACTGAGCCCTTAACCTCTATGGGCTGCACTAACTCTGCTTGGTATCAGAACTGAGCTGAACTGTAGGACATCCAGTTGATGTTCAATGGTGAATTGCCTATATGATGCTATCAAGAAAGAAAAGTAAAAAGACAACTCAGAGAATGGAAGAAAATATTCGCAAACCACATATGCAGAATTACAAATTCTTTTTTTTTTTTTTTTTTTGAGACGGAGTCTTGCTTTGTTGCCCAGGCTGGAGTGCAGTGGTGCGATCCCGCAACCTCTGCCTCCTGGGTTCAAGCGATTTTCCTGCCTCAGCCTCCCGAGTAGCTGGGACTATAGGTCTACGCCACCATACCTGGCTAATTTTTGTATTTTTAGTAGAGATGGGGTTTCACAATGTTGACCAGGCTGGTCTTGAACTCCTGACCTCATGATCCACCTGCCTCAGCCTTCCAAAGTGTTGGGATTACAGGTGTGCGCCACTGCGCCCGGCCTACAAATAATTCTTAAAACTTGACATTAAAAAAATAATCCAATTTTACAATGGGCAAAGGATGTGAATAGCTACTTCTCCAAAGATGATACACAAATGACCAATAAGCACATGAAAAAATGCTCAACATCATTAGCCATCAAGGAAATACAAATAAAAACCACAATCAAATAACATTTCATACCCACTGGGCTGGCTACAATTAAAAAAAAAAAAAAAAAAACACACACACACACACATGAAGTCAAGTGTCAGGGAGGAGCTGGAGAAAGGAGAACCCTCATGCACTGCCGGTGAGAATGTAAAACGGGGCAGCCACTTTGGAAAACAGTCTGACAATTCCTTAAAAGGTTAAACAGAGTTACCACATGATCCAGCAATTCCACTCCCAGGTATACATCCAAGAGAACTGAAAACATGTTCACACAAATGCTTGCATGTGAATGTTCTACAGCAGCATTATTCATAATAGTCAAAAAGTGGAAGTAACCCAAATACATAGCAAAGTCCACAGAGATAGAAAGGATTGGGTCCAACAGAGCTTAAAGGAAAAAAAAAATCATAAAAATTTTAAAAAGAAAACAGAATAGTGGTTGCCAGGGACTGGAGAGAGGGGAAGGGAGGTAAGTGCTACTAATGGGTAGGAATTTTTTTATGAAGTGACAAACAAACAAAAGAAACGGAGAGAATCAAACTGTATGTCCTAACCCTTTGGACGTTCTGGACACGAGTCTGTGGTCTTCTCTTACCTGCATCAACGGCACACGGGTAATGGTATCGGAAGGAGCAGCCTTTGTTGTAGCAGCCCAAGGTGGCGCCTGCCTCCTGGCAGTGGGAACATTTCTGAAAGGAAGGAAAAGTCAGGCATGTCAGTATCCCAGATTTGGCCCTCTCCTCCAGGCCTTCCCTGGTCTCCATCTGTTAGACCTCAGCACGTGTCTCTGTGGTTAGAGGAGTCTGTGGTGGCAGGATGGGCCGGTCAATTTCTAAACGCCACTCACTGACCACACCATGGGAAGGGATCCAGCAATAATGTTTTAGGCCAAGCCTCACAAATGTTCTCAAATCAACAACACAGCAGGATGAGATAAGCAATCCATGTCATAAAGGACATGCCAGAGTGGGGTTCCCAGCCCTGCCTCTGGTGCCCCCGCCATCCACCCACCCAAACACTCTGCCAGGCATTTCCTTGCTGCAATTGTGAGCGGTCTGCAGATCTTCCCTGTTTACTTCTGCTGTGAAAATCTGGGGTAAGAGAGGGTAAGGTAGTAGAGTTATATATAAACCTTTTAGAATTAGAAGCGGAATTTGGTTTCTAGTTCTTGTATTTGTAAGATTTTATTTTTATTTTTGATCTACTTACCCCAAATGCCCAATACAAGTATATTTCCCTTTTCAGAAAATATGGGCTCCTGTGTGCAAATGGTATTTTTATACATGAATCTTATTTTAAATGCACCAGAAAACCTGCCATGAATTTCTGGCTAAGTGAGACATTATTTTGTAATTGAGACACTCCTCCTTATACGGTCAGGTTCTCTTAAAGTGGGGCACATCTCTGTCAGCCCTGTGATGTGGCTGCTGTGAGCGCTCATCCTGTCAGGGTAAGAAATGTATCCCATCAGCAACAAACATATTCATAAAACTCAACCACATGTGACCCTACTAAAGATGCTGGCTCTTCAGGCAGCAGAGGCACACAACCAGCAAGACTAGCTGGAAGAGACAGAAACTTGTTCCTGCTTCTATGAAAAATAAAAGTGTTCCCTAAGCAATTACACTGAGCTGGCTCAGGCCCCCGACACAAATACTGATGGGAAACGAAACTAACGCCAGCAACAGCAAAGCCCAAGTGCTCCCCATGCTCAGATTGAATGATCTCATCCAGCCCTCTGCACTACTCCACCTGGCAGGCACTCCTAATGCTTTACATGAAACTCTTGAGACACCAGAGGCAAAATAACTTGTTCCAGGTCAGAGCTGAGATTCTGGATGACCATCTCTGGCATCCTCAAGAGACAAAAGAGATAGGAAAAAGGGCTGGAAGAGATTAGTCCTTCAAAAGCTCTGCCCTGCTCTCAGAAGACCAAGGTCCTTCTGGGTGCCGATAATCAGTAAATGTTTCTCAGGTGCCCTCGCACCCTTGTTAAGAGAGAAAAGATCATTTGGTCTGGAGTAAACCAAGGACAAGTTCACAGCATTTCTGGTAGCCCTAGACTCTATCTACCTTTGTCAGTGCCACAGAGCATCTCAGAATCAAAAGGACTCACTATCAACTTGAGGGAAGGAAGTGTGGGTAGTCCATCAGTGGCCAACCTGCAGCCATGTCTGCTGCCACTTTCTTTTTTTGAGATGGAGTCCTGCTTTGTTGCCCAGGCTGGAGTGCAGTGGCGCAATCTTGGCTCCCTTCAACCTCTGCCTCCTGGTTTCAAGCGATTCTCCTGCCTCAGGCCTCCTGAGGAGTTGGGATTACAGGCATGTGCTACCACGCCCGGCTAATTTTTGTATTTTTAGTAGAGATGGGGTTTTGCATGTTGGCCAAGCTGGTCTCAAACTCCTGACCTCAAGTGAGCCACCACTACCGGCCTCCTGCTGCCACTTTCTTACTCAAGGAGCCCGAAGATATGGCCCTCCCTACCCCGGGGAATGAATCACAGTGAGTGGTGGCCATTTAGGAATGGGTATAATCAAGCATTTCTGGTAGGAAAGTCTGCAGGAAAAAGGGCTTCTGAAAACAGTTTGCACTCCCCTCACCTTTTTTTTTTTATTTTGAGACAATGTCTTGCTCTGTCACCCCGGCTGGAGTGCAGTGGCACAATCATGGCTCACTGCAGCCTCTACCTCCTGGGCTCAGGTGATTCTCCCACCTCAGCCTCCGAGTAGCTGAGACTACAGGGTGTGTGCTACTACATCCAGCTAGTTTTTTAAAAAAAGTTTTTGTAGAGATGGGGTCTCACTATGTTGCCTAGGCTGTTCTTGAACTCCTGGGTTCAAGCAATTCTCCCACCTCAGTGTCCAAAAGTGCTAGTATGAAAGTTTCACCCTCTCAAAAAGAGACAACAGGGAGGAACAGGTAATTTTCTGCTCAGCCTCTGTGAGGACTAGACGGTGGGATCTGTGGCAGCCACAGTATCACCATAAGGGGACAGCCCTGAAGACAAGGCCAGTCTGCTGAGGACAGAAGAGTGGCAAGATGGAGAGACCTGGACCTACCATGACACTGTCAAGCACTAAATCACCCAAACCCAGGACCAAGCCACCTCTAGCCTTGTTACAGGAAACCTGGGGGTTGCTGTAGAAGGGTTAAGTATGCATGCTCTGGAACCTAAATAACTGCCTGGTAAGTGGCTCCACTTTCTAGTTCTGCCTTCTTGGCCAAATTCCTAACCTTTGTTCCTCAATCTACAGATGTGGGACTAATAATGGCACTCACCTCATAGAAATGTCATAAGGGTTAAATGAATTAATTCAGGCTTAAAATGGTGGCTGGGTCAAAAGTGCTAAGTAAATGTGACCCAAGATGACCATGTGTCAGACACATGCTAGATAATCTACAAAGACCACCTCATGAAAAGCAACCACACAGCAGGCCTTGTCACCATCCCAGTTTACAAGAGGAAAGAGAAGACATGGAGCTTAGATCTGAACAATATCCATTTGCTTCCTAACTCAACCCCACAACCTGGCAAGCATTGCGCGAACTGCACGATGATTAATTTACAACATTGCATCCAAAGGGGAAAGACCCTCAGGGTATGATAGGGACTCAGAGAAAGATCCTTAAAGACAGTTTAGTTCAGTGGTTTTTGAAGTGTGGTCCTTTGGAACAGCAGCATCAGCAACACTCAGGGACTTGTCAGAAATGCAGTTTTGTTTTTTGGATTATTTTTGAGAGTGTCTCGTTCTGTCGCCCAGGCTGGAGCGCAGTGGCACAACCTTGGCTCACTGCAACCTCCAACTCCCACGTTCAAGCGATTCTTGTGCCTCAGTTTCCCAACTAGCTGGGATTACAGGCATGAACCACCACACCTGGCAAATTTTTGTAATTTCACTAGAGACAGGGTTTTAACATGTTGGCCAGGCTGGTCTTGAACTTCTTGCCTCAAGTGATCCACCTGCCTTGGCCTCCCAAAGTGCTGGGATTACAGGCATGAGCCACCACACCTGGCAGAAATGCATACTTTTGAGCCCCACCTAAATCCGTGTTGTGAGAAGTCCTCCAGGCTATTCTGATGCACAATGCAGTTTGAGGACCACTGGTCTAATTCAACTCCCCAACTTTTCAGATGCGGAAAAAAGAAACCCAGAGAGATACAATAACAGACTGAGCTAGGATTACTGGTTTCCTGAGAGCCATTTAGTGTTCTGTCTCCTATAGAGCAATCAGATCTTGGGATACGGTAGGTAGAATCCTGAGAATCTGTGATCTTACATACAAAATGAACTTTGCGGATGAGATTAAGGACCTTGAGATGGGAAGAATATGCTAGGTTATATGCTAGGTGGGCCAATCTAATCACACAGGTCCATAAAAGCAAATGACTCCCCCCAGAGGGAGTTAAAGTTGTCAGCTTCAGGGAGACCTGATGATTTGGCAGCAGGGTCATGGGTGCAATGCTGCTGGCCTTGAAGATGTGAGAAGGGGCAGGGATTTCCCAAGACTCACCACAACCTCTACCTCCTGGGTTCAAGCGATTCTCCTGCCTCAGCCTCCCAAGTAGCTGTTATTGCAAGCACCCACCACCACGCCCAGCTACTCTTTGTATTTTTAGTAGAGATGGGGTTTCAACATGTTGGCCAGGCTAGTCTTGAACTCCTGACCTCAGGTGATCTGCCCACCTCAGCCTCCCAAAGTGCTGGGATTACAGGCGTCAGCCACCGCACCTGGCCTTAGGTTCTTTAATGCAACAGACTTCTCCCTCATGAAAACACCTACAAGGCCGGGCGTGGTGGCTCAAGCCTGTAATCCCAGCACTTTGGGAGGCCGAGACAGGTGGATCACGAGGTCAGGAGATCGAGACCATCCTGGCTAACCCGGTGAAACCCCATCTCTACTAAAAAATACAAAAAACTAGCCAGGCGAGGTGGCGGGCGCCTGTAGTCCCAGCTGCTCGGGAGGCTGAGGCAGGAGAATGGCGTGAACCCGGGAGGCGGAGCTTGCAGTGAGCTGAGATCCGGCCACTGCACTCCAGCCCGGGCGACAGAGCGAGACTCCATCTCAAAAAAAAAAAAAAAAAAAAAAAAAAAAAAAAACACCTACAACTTCAGTAGGCAAATTCTGACATCAGGAGATCAATAAAGAAGGAACTCTGGGTCTATCTTCAACATGTTTTTCTTGTTGAAGAAACAGAGGCCAAAACAAAGTGACCTGCTAAAGATCACATAGTAAGTAGGAGAACTTAGAACTTCACCCCTTTTTCTTCTGAACCCCAAGTTCAACTTTCTTCATACCATACCGTGATGCCTGTTAGCCCCCTTCATTCACTCAACCATCCAACATTTGAAAAGTACTCTCTAGGTGCCAGGTGCCAAAGGTAGAATATAAATACTTATCTATAGTGTCTTCCATGTGTAAGGTTTTCCCTTCTACCCAAAAATCAATACCCAGGCTAGTACAATTTCTAATTAAATTTTTATTCTATACTTTTTACCTGAAGTAGCTATTTGCATTATCATCCTCCTCTGCTACAAATAATATATTAAAGTCACTGCATAGCTAAATATCCTTTGTTTTTGACCACAATGTTACTACATTCACTCCAAGTAGAGGTAAGTCCATACTGCCCCCCAGGCAGAATGAGACACACTGGGGGCTCCAAGCATGATTTCTAAATTAAGACACA